CATCAATCAGATCATCTGCGCTTCTTTCTTTCAAAATTTTCATGTTATCATATACTACCTCATGTTTAATTATAAGACTTGTTTATAAACTATAAACAAGATTTTATAATTAAGACCGGAGGTAGCATTAACTTTTTTTTTTTTGGCCGGCGGATTTAATTTTATCTTCTCCCTCGCTAAAGGCCATGATACAGGCTTGCATTATGTATGTCCGAGTTCCCCCCCCCTCTTTAGCTGCAAACTTTAATAATTAGGTTAATTGCATTTAAGTAACATTTAGGAACAGAAATGAAGTAAACCCGATTTATCAAAGGATTTGGTCCCCCCCCCCCCCCAAAAAAAGGATGAATGATTCATAGAAATATATAGAAAGGTGACCTTACTTTTAAAAAATCTTGCTCCAAAGATTACACATCTCAGATTAATTATATTATATTCATCAAACCTTATGAATATGATGCCTTTAGCACACACCGTTTGCTTTAAAAGAAGAAAAGGATATTCATAATATTTTACGCTAACTATTCTTAGATCCCTCCTTTTTGCTTCTCCTTTGGATCCGTACATCCTGATCATGCAAGGGTTTCAATTGAGATATTAATTAACAAAATAAAAAAAATTATTATAATCCTCCCATGTATGGAACCCCAGTTGGAGGGATCCAGTCATCTCCTTTTATGAACCTCGACACAGTGAAGTCCTTCACCTGATCCTTATCATGCACCTCCACAACACCAATCCACCTCACTCTCCCACGTGTGTTCGATCGAGGCCCTTCGTTCTCAAACTCCACGTAAGTCACCTTATCTGTTGGCGTCCCCTTCATCTCTCCCCACCCCATTGGACTCACTATATCATCAATATACGACCGCATGATCACCACCCTCGAATACGCCCTCCATGGCCGTCCTAAAATAGCGTTGCCCGCACCGGATAACTGCTTCCCGGCGTCATCACCAGGAGACACCGTAAAACGACAGTAATGGAAAACAAAACCGGTGCGTTGCAGAGGGTCGTCGCGAGACTGGGCGGTGAAAACGGAGAAGCTGGCGAGGCGTGCGTAGAGCATGCAGTTCTGGAAAACGGCGGCGGCGTTTCCCATGACGAAGTCGACGGAGCCGTAGATGTGGCATTCCCGGTAAAATTGACGGCCCAATGAAGCCCATAAGGTGTCCTGAAAGCCCTCGATGGAGCAGTTGTACAGCACCGACCTGTCCGCCGCGTTCAACAGAGCAATCCCTGGGCCCGCCTTCGGCCCAGCTGAATTCACAAAGGCTATACTCTGGCCCACGAAGCCCGCTCCGTGAATTGCTGAAAAGTTTCAAGCCCCATTTCGTTATATTTCCCACTTTCCCATATTTGAATAATTCATAACAAGCACGTACGTGTGTATTATGTATACATATACATATATATATACCTACTGTGGCTGTTCGAGACAAGGTGCCGCCATTTTGGTGTCCGAGATGACAGTATTATGACGACCGTCGCCGATGAGAAGAATGTTGGTTTTGTCTCGTGGGATGTGGAGAAGTTCCTTGTAGATTCCGGGTCGGACGAGAATGGTGTGTTTTGTGCCGCTGTGGGAGGGAGCTTCTGATATGGCTTGGGCGATTGTGGTGTAATCTCCGTGGCCATCAATGGAGACTGTAACTGTAGAAGAAGCCAAGGATGATGATGAGAGGAGTTGCAGAAGTAGCGTCACCAAGACGAAGCACTGTACTGTGATTGAGCAGTTAGCCATGAGACGAGAAGATGCAGTTCGAGTATTGTTATGATCTCTTCTGGTTTGTTTATATATAGCCAGATGGGGCGACTGAAGCTGTTTATAATTAATTAATTAGTAGCTTCTTTGGTGAAAGGAACAAAAGTTAAAAGGAAATAATGTTGGAAAGTGAATAACATGCAGAGGGAGAAAGGCATATCGGATTCGGGTTCGGAGCAGTCTTCTTAGTCCACTCATACAAAGAATTGATTGTTAGAGGTCCCTCAGTGTCACTACAATTTGCCGTGGTTTCCTACTCATGGTGGCCACTTGCCCACTCCTATTTAAAGAGTGCGTAGATGAGATCTTTACAAGAGGAAATACTTACATTATTTAGAATAACTAATACTCCTTCAATCCTAAATATAAGACTCATTTTACAGTGTAAATTATACTACAAAATGAGTTTTATATTTAGAAACAGAGGAATATTACTGTTATACTTATTAATTTATTATTATTTTTAATTTAAAAGGTATACATCATTAATAATTTGAAGTCATAAACAGGATTGGACGCATAAACTCTTACATTATTAAAGAGAGTTTTGGTACCACTAGGTTAGAAGATTAGAAATCAGTTTCAACACTTATCAGAGTAAAGAATTGTTTAATAGAAAAATTATCAATTAAAAATTTTAAATTTAGATAATTAAAATTGTACTTGGATGATATAGATTTCATCACAGAATGAGTATTAGGATACTCACCAAAACGCGAGGATGCGTCCTGCTGTATGTATAGAGATGCCACTCTTATGAATTTTGCTTGTTAGCATAATAGGGATCGATGTTGACATCTTTTATTATTAAATAACAGATAGCGAACTTATATTCATCTTCTTCGGAAGAATAAATTCTAAAGAGAATAATTCTTCATTATAGTAAATGTATATAGTTGAGAGAAATTAAATGAAGTTTTTGCTTGCATTATTATGTATGTTTCTAATATTGAGTGTGAAGTCCAGACAGCTTTCACAGCACAAGTTCGCACTTGTATGGACATCATATAGAAGCAATTTTGGTCCTCAATTAACTTATCCATCTACTTTTCCTAAGCAGTCAGTACCTATACATATGTTTGTGTGTGTGTGTGTGTGTGTAATGCAGAGACATTAATAGCCCCACCGACCTACATTTCTTCTGTACCGTGTTTGCTGATCCCATATGTATTTTCTCCGATCCATTACTTCCGTCGTACATGAATATGCCGTTTGCATTCAAGAGCTGAGGATGTTAGTTTCATTTAGGTACTGTCACTTATTAATTGAGGGCCAACCATCTCGATGGGGACGTCAGGTTTCTGTTTGTGCGAGAATAATATCAAATTGTGGGGCTAATATAATTGAGCTAATTAAACTCAATTGGGCAACATGCATATTATTCTTCCCCATTACTCCGCTTTATATCATGTGCGGTCAATTAGGGTCAGTCAATGTACGTAAATTATTAGACCTTTTTTCCGGCAGGCAAGGTTATCCACTTATTAGAAATAAATTTATTTGAAGTACTGTCAAGTACTGAACACGGGTATCTCTTTGAGTGAAGATTCATATCTTGACTGTCCATATTGTGAGGGATCAACATATTTTATCAGATACAACTCCTTTGTTACGTATATTAATATATTATTACATTTGTTGTCTCAAATTGCAAATAACGTAGTTTTTTCCGTCAAAAGAAAGCACGCGAGCCCAGCTCGACCCACACAAACAACATGTCAGGTGATGCGGGTTGGACTAACCTTCTTTCTCAGCCCTGCGTCTTTTGTGTGTGTATTTTTTTTTTTTGGTCGGGGTAAAGCTCGCTCTACTCTTTATGAACAAATAAATTATGGGACAATGACAAAAACAAAACTGAAAATATATAAATACCAAATAAAAAATGTCAAGAAAAATTTGTTATTGTTTGTAAATTCAGAATTGTTAATACTAAATAAAGTTGTGTTACCAAACCTGATTTGATATTTGTAATTTTCAGTTTCTTTTTCTGTCATTGTCTCATAAATTATTGTTAGTACCCAAAAAAATTGATTATTCTGTACCTAACCCGAAAAAACCAAACAATTGTTGGCGGGCGGAAAAAAAAAAAACTTTCTGCGCAACATGGAGGAAATGGGAAAGGAAAATCTCATTGAAAAATGAAAATCCCACAAGGAATATAATAACGTTTTAGAACCATATAATTCTGAAGATTTTCTACATACTAAGTGAAAATATGTTTTAATGTAAAGAGAATTAAAATAACCTTGATGCAAATACGAGATATTATCTATAACTTACAACTAAATTTTCATATTTCAAATCACGCCTTCGAATTTTGATGAGTAATTATTTTGCAGCCATAGTTTACTTAGAACCCATTGTCAGCTGAACTGCATAATTCTAACTTATTCATTCTTTTGAAATAACTTGAAATTTTATCTTAAAACTACAACTTATGATAACCAAAGACTGACTTCTCAAAATCAACATATCTTATCATATCATATTGGAGCACCTAATTATAAGTTATATACCAGCATGTCACATTTGCAAAAGGAACATCAGCATCAAAAACATTTTTACCTCCATATATATTTTTTATTTTAGTCCTATAGGCTTCCGGAAAAATTTCAGTGTTAGCCGAGGCTGAGGTTAAATGTTAGTAGTATTCTCTTTCTCGTTGCAACGGCATTCTCCGGGAAGAAACGCAAGTTCTTTACCTGTCGTTTAGGACCGGCTTCAAGTTTCCGCACTCGTACTCACTGTTATTTTCCGAGTCCAGAAGGAAACAACGCCCCTTCAGATTTTACCATGGTTTTTCCCAAGGTCCCAGCCCGGAGCATTAGCGCCACCATCTCTGCTCGACTCTTCCCCGCCATTGCTTCACTGCCCCGCCGCTTGTATTCTTCTTCACAGCCACACCGAGACGACGACGACGATAACAACAGCGCAACCCCAATCTTCCATTCTTCAAATGATTCCGAACTGGTGTCCAGGATCCTCCTCCAGCACCATAATCCCTTCCACGCCATGGAGTCCTCTCTGCAGCTCCATGGAATCACCCTTACCCCTCAACTTCTACACGACGTCCTCCTCCGCCTCAGGCACTCTTCAAAAATCGCACTTGCCCTTTTCAATTATTCCAAATCTCTTCCCAATCCTCCTCTCAGCTCCGATTCCTACAACCTCATGATTGACATCCTGGGTAAAGTTCGCCAATTCGACGTTGTTTGGCAACTCATCATCGATGGACCAGAAAAAGCTCAACCCCACTTCTACTACCTTCTTGATATTGATTCGCAGGCTTATTTCTGCTGGGCTTACTCGCCAAGCAATACGTGCATTCGACGACATCGATAATTTCGTGGAGGAGAAGGTGAGTTCTGAGGTTTTCTGTTATTTGCTGGATACCCTTTGTAAGTACGGGTATGTGAAAGTCGCCGTTGAAGTTTTTAACAAAAACAAGCACAGGTTTGCGCCTGATGCGAAAATGTACACGGTTTTGATATATGGTTGGTGTAAAATAGGCCGAATTAAAATGGCGGAGGGGTTCTTGAAGGACATGGTGGAGAAAGGACTTGAGCCTAGTGTCGTTACGTATAATGTATTGCTGAATGGAATTTGTAGGCGGGCAAGTTTACATCCGGAAGAAAGATTTGAAAGGACAATAAGAAATGCTGATAACTTGTTTGATGAAATGCACAAGAGAGGGATTGAGCCAGATGTTACTAGCTTCTCCATTGTGCTCCATGTCTATAGCCGGGCACATAAACCACAGCTGTCCCTAGATAAATTAAGATTGATGCAGGAGAAAGGAATCTGCCCAACAGTAGCGACATATACTTCTGTTATTAAATGTCTTTGTTCCTGTGGCTGGCTTGAAGATGCTGAGGAGTTGCTCAATGAGATGGTAAGGAATGGGATAAGTCCATGTGCTGCAACCTATAACTGCTTCTATAAGGAATACAGGGGCAGAAAGGATGCAGATAGTGCTTTGAAGCTGTTCAAGAAAATGAAGGAAGATGGTTTTTGCATGCCCACCATGCAAACATATAACATATTGATTGTTATGTTTTTGAATTAAATAAAATCGAGGCTGTGAAACAACTATGGAATGACATGAAAGAAACTGGGGTCGGACCAGATTTAGATTCCTATACACTACTAATAAATGGACTGTGTAAGAACCAAAACTGGAGGCAGGCTTGCAGTTTTTTTGTTGAGATGATAGAGAATGGGTTTCTTCCACAGAAAGTTACTTTTGAGACCCTTTACAAAGGCTTAATACAATCTGATATGTTGAGAACTTGGAGAAGATTGAAGAAGAAGCTTGATGAGGAATCAATAACATTTGGTTCGGAGTTCCAAAAGTACCATTTTAAGCCCTATAGGAGATGATTTGATATCTATGGAAATATGCAGAGTTGTTTAAAGCTGCTATGCACAAGGTACTGTTGTGATTCCCTTCTTGACTGTATTTTTGCATTATTACCCACAGCTCAGTTTTTGCCTTGCGGGTTTTAACTTGATTAGCCCATTCCACTTCTAAAAGGATTATTGGATTGCAGGTTTGATGATATCTTTGGCTTGTTTTATCTTTATTACTGTAGCATGCATTCTTATTTTTGCAGGGAAATTTGAAAGGGAAAGGACACTGTACCTTATGGTATTCGATGATTGTCTTTTCTTGGTGAACTTGGGAATCTCTTATATACCTTTATGTCTATCTGGCAACTCGTGCCTTACGCGGAGCTTTTAAAATTTTCTTGTATTAGCTTGTCAGTTAAGTCCTTTCAGTCGATTGTTACTTCTATCTTCTTGACTTTAATCTGAGATATGCATCAAACTTGCTTAGCCTAAATTATAATTGTAAATTTTGGAGTTGTTACCATCAAATATCTTTTTGTTTAGTTGTCTCGATATTTACTTCACTGATCTTTGCATAATTTCTAGCTTTTGACCTTTCTAGCTGTAGCATATCTATTTCCATTTCTTTATTGTAACGTAACACGATAAAATGAACACGCACGCACAAAATTCTTGCTTGAAACGTGTATGTACGTGGCTTTCGTCATCAGCTGTGAACCATGGACAATCTAAATGACCTGGCACTTCCGATACCTCCTGTCCACTTCGAATTTTATTATGTTGCCATTTCCTTGTCCATGATGTGTGCCCTTTTAAATATATATGCTTTAGAGATCGTTACTGTTTATTTTCTAGTAAGCCCATGGTTTTTTGGCGTGCAAAAATTCCGGAATAAGATACTATGTAAGAAATCAAATAACACAATCTGGTGTTTTCGCTACTTGGATTTGGTTTCCTTTTGTATCTCTCTTCCGTTGACCAAGCAAAGGGTTTATTTACTTTTTATGATGTCCCTTGCTGTCTTGGCAGCTGGCGGTTGATGGATCTGAAGATTTCGTGCTGGTGAATACTCAATTGTTGGGCACTTAGAGGCACGGGGGATTTTAACAGGTCACAACTGGTAAAGAAGAGAACAAAAGGCGCATAATGTATGGGGCCAATTATTTTACTTGCAACAGATGTACATTTGTGCTTAACTATTCAATTAATTCGCCTTATTTGCTTGTTTTACTTGATACAGATGGTTGTCACTGTCAGTGTAGCATTACATGCAGGATCCGTATTCTCCAGTCAAGAGATGAGAGATACCACCTGCAGGATGAAGAAGTTCTTGCTTGGAATTTAGGATCGTTAGAAACAGAGGTTAAGCCAAGAAATGCAGCGTGAGGGAGATCAAGACGCGTAGGCGTAGCTCAGTGAAAATGAGAAAGATGGCAATAGTTTGGTTGCTGTTGCTGGATAATTGTTTTGACGTGGGTAGAGGTGTTCAAAGCCAGTCCGTCCCGGTTAGCTTGTTCCGGTCCTGGTCTTATTGGGACAGGACGGGTCCTTTTCAAAATTTTTTGGAACAGGATAAACCGGAACGGGACAAAAAAAGGGATCGGGATGGAACGGGACACGGGACGGGACAACCCCATCCCGGTCCCTTCTATTTTTTTTCATTTTTTATTTTATTTATATAATATTATTTTTTTTATATTTTTTTAAGATTTGAGATTATTGTATAGAATTATGGATATATTTATTTAGAGTTTTTATATTTGTTGATAATTTGATACTATTGATGATTATAATTTCTAACAAGTTTTTATTGCGTTAAAAGCTTTTGTTTAGAATTTTTAATAATTATTATATGTAATATTTTGAACTTTTGTTTAAGGGTGTCCAAAGAAATTAAATAAAAAAACAAAAGATGTTTTACAAAGTCTAAGTCCAAAAAACTACAATTAGAAAGAATAATCGGATTTTATTAAAAAAACATTAAAAAAAAATCAAGACGTCTTGGTTCTGTCTCAACCAAAATTGGGACAATATCGGGACGGAACACGGGGCAGAAAATCTATCCTATTACTGTTTATTGGAATGGAACCGAAATAGGCCTGTTCTAATCCCAATTGATGTGGGGAATTATTTTTGAGTTGCAACAATTCTCGTCACTCCTCGGGTGCAGTAGTTCATTACAGCAAATTATCCCTTTGGTTTCCCCAAGCTATTTCAAGATTCGAACTTGCTCATCACTCGGAGGAGAGGAGAATTAAAGCTTAATTACATTTAAAATGAAGACACTTGAGTTCTCAGATTCGAGAGAAATATGAAATGAAGTACTCTTTTAGTCTTAAATATATTAAATATAATATCTATTTTATAATGTAATTTACATTATAAAATAGGTTTTATATTTAAAACAAATTTTTTTTGTATTTTCATCCCTTTTAGGTTTTTAAATCATACAGTGTCTAGATGGATAAAAAGTCATGAAATATAAATAAACTGATAAAATACATGAATATTAGCGGTACCAAACATCTAACACGCTTAGGTTGTATTATATTAGCTAATACAGTTAGAGCTTATACAACAAACCAATTAGCAAACAGGTTCTAAAGGCAAAACAAGTGAAAGTAAATAAATTTGGAGATGCTGGAATGCCATCTATCATTCTTTACCCTTTAGATTCTTCCAATAGTCAAACCACAATGTCATCCGGTATCAATTTGTTAGTATCAATCACAGTAAAAGTGCACTTGAGTGGCCACAATGCCAGTATTTTATCTCATGGCGTTTCCAAGCCGTGAATAGCTTGCTCGAACTAATTGCAATTCAAATTCATATCTCCAGATACACATGGTCAAAGCGGCCATTAGCATTATCTTTACGTTCATTTAGCTGAGAACGAAATGAAATGTAGCGGGAAAAATCCGAACCCCAGTTCATAAATAGAGTTTACTTTGTGATAAATAATGCCACAAGGTGTGGCTTTATCGGTATCTACATCTACAACAGCAACCACGAATCGAAGAAACGCGTGCAATAAAAACCAGAGCCACCAAACGCCAAAAGAAACCAAAAAATCTGAGAAATTGCATCCTACTGACGAGTGAAGATTCTACTTCTTATAACTATTTCTCGTGGTATTCATGGCCTACGAGACTTTGGGGCACAAGAATGTATGATCCATTCGATCTCTGACACTGTGATCTGTTGGATGATTGAATCCCGTGGTCTCAAATTTCAGAGGTCTCTTGTTTCTTTAATGACTTAGGTGGAGGCATAGAAAAAGACCCTCGACATGATGCTTTGCATTAAACACAAGCTAAATCGCTTGGGCGATCCAGTCAAAAGAAAAAAAAAATCGCGAGTTCTGATGTTTTCTAGTGAACAGGACTTGGCAAACTGGCATCATGGTGACAGCTCAAAATTTGCTTCCAGAACCGAGGGAATTTCAGCAAGGGAAGTCACTTTATAATCGGGTTTGAATTCAACATTGGCATACACAGGAGAATCGTACCTTCCAGTCTGATCAAGCAAGCATGTGAAACCTCCTGCTCGCTTTCCACAAGCAACCTGTGGAAAAGAACCCTATGTTAGATGAAAATCTTCAATTTTTTTCCCTCCACACTGAATTTTGGTTCGAACAGTATGTCTACTGTTCTTCCTTCCTCTATTGCACGTATGAAAATTTAAAGAGTCTAGTTTTTAATAGAAGGTGAAAAGAGAAACTACACGAACATCAAGATGGTAGTCAGAATAAAAGCATTTATTTTGCTTGGTTACAAAGACAGCAAAGGCGAGGACATTGTGTTATCGGGAAAAGAACCACTTACATCGTCTTTAAGACTATCCCCTACCATTATCACTTCATTTGGTTGAACTCCCCAACCTGAACATATATGCAATAACGGAGCTGGATCTGGTTTATAAGGACGAAATTCCCTGCTTAATGCCGGAGAAAATGCAATCTGCAGCATGAGAAGTACAATAGCCTGGGCTCCCAAGGAGAAAGAAATGGCATATGAATACGACTTCATTTATATAAACTAACCCCAAATCTTTTCTGGAATATATCAACTGCCATCTTCACATTGCGTGTGATCAATCCCCTCCTGCATATGGACAGACAAAGTTATCTATCATGAATAAATTTGAAAAAAAATTGTCACTAAAACTATCAAGGCCATAACTCTCGTTATTGACACCAACCAGTTTATCCAAAACAAGTTCATACAAATCTGATCAACACCAGTCAGCATACACCATTATAAGGAGGGGGGGGGGGAGCACTTGCGTTGGACCCAAGAAAAGTCAATTTTCCAATGAAAGTTTTCTAATGACAAGAAATAAGAAATGCAATCATTTTCTTCCTTGGCCAACACAAACATGGTGTATAATCAAAATAAACATATACCAAGAATTTCCATAAACCTGCTATATTGTTGTCGTATGGCATTGAAACATTTAACCTATGAACATAGATTAAGAATAAATATATAAAACCATACATGCTCATGTGACAAATTAATTAATGTATCGTCTATGCCTATGAACTCTCAAACCCCATGGAAGTCACAACTAGGTGATTTGCAATGCTTGCAAGTTACTTAAATCCACATAGAAGAGCATTTGATGCAGTCTCGATTCACCAGAAGTAGAAAATGTAGCTACAAATCCAAACCCAAAAAGCTTACAGAACACATACATCAAGTCAGCAGCAGTTTATCTTTCTGCTAGTACACCCAACAACTAAATAGTCAGTTAACTGGAATTGAACAGCCCCGAGCACAGAAGACCACTGCTCCCCAGCCCTTTTCCCAGCACGTCAATACAAACATAAGAAATAAGACAAAGCTGTGATTAAAAATATTTTGAGAAAGTTGGCCAAGATCAATCAGATGCTTTTACTCCCAATAACAAATAATTTTTCTAAAAAAAATAAATTATTTCACACTTTGAAATGCATACACATTAGGTGTTTAATCAGAGGACAAAAGAGTATTAAGTTCAGACCCGGTCCCTAGCTAGCATAGAAACTTTTAACGCTCTGATAGTTTTGGTAAAGTAGTAATTAAAATTCAAAGACACCCCAAGTAGTATACTGATTGAAAGGCCTCATAAAGCTGAGGAGAAAATATGATTCAAAAGAAATGAACTGGAAAATTAGAACCCTGTTTAAGTCCAAATATTTTCCTACCATGTCGTAGTGATAAAACTTTCAACTAAATAGTTCCTTCTGGCCTGATAATCCACTCCAGGGAAGTGGAACCGTCCTATTAATAGCAGAAGTTCCTCCTAGTGTAAACATGAAAAGCATTTTGTCCCTCTAATAACTTAAAATTTCCATATTAAACGTAATGCGAGATATGGAAGAATGGAAGCTTTCACTATAGCTTTAAAGCAAATGGCATGCATTTTCAGCTTTTTTGACTTGCCAATCCCTTACATAACCTGCTACTCATTCACTAAGAAATATAACAATTAGTCGTTCCATATCATATTCCAAAAATCATGCGAATGAACAAAACAGCAGAGAACGTAATATAGACACGAAAGACTGATGGAAAGGAACGTAATATTTCTGGTAAAAAAAAAAGAAAAGAAACCTAATATAGACAGAAAATAACCTGTTCCCAAGAAAGGTAGCCATAAGGAACTTCAGATGTAATTTTCCCAAGAAAGGCATATGATATCGAAAATTAGAAATTCCAATTATTGTTAAAAGCTCGAAATCGCATTGACTATAAAAGACAAAGGAACTACAGATGGTCGTTAAGACATTAGAAGTGAACGGTAATCTTCTTAACTTGACCTTATTTTCTTCGAATCAAGGAAACCACAAAGTTCAGCCGCACCTGCGCCACAGTTTAACAGAAAAATCAAACTCTACCAACTAATTTGTAATCTATTAACAAAAAACTAAAAGTCATCTTCATTTTGACCAGACCATGAAGTATAATTTTATTTTTTTTTAAAAGGCAAGTGAACATAAATTTAAATATTCATGGAAAAAATATGGACCTATGTACACACTAAACTTCTAGCGTGAACATTGTCTAGTGTAGTCGAGTTATAAGAAGAAAAACAATGTAGAAGCAAGCAGAGAGCCACCAAATTCCAGAAGAAAGCACATTCTACTTCGTTCCTAAATCCTAACAAATTTCATCAACATTGTTCTGAAAAATTCAACTGCTTGCCAGGTTCAAAGAATTGCAAAACAAGAGAATGAACAATTAGGAAAGGGCGAACCACTAACCAGGCATGATTTGTAGGCGATCCAGTCCCTGGCGCTCGTAATCAGTGATGGTCTCGTAAGCAATACGCTGCTTCTCGGGATTCCAGTCTTCAATGAGGTGCAAAATGTCAATTCCAGATGGATTTTCGCTTTTAATCCTGCGGTACTCATCGTCGCCGAGCACAGCACGGTACATGGCAGCAAAATCGATGGCGGGAACCGTAAGAGTGCCGTCCATGTCAAAAACGACGCCTCTAAGGCGAGCTTTGGGGCTAGAATTGGAGGGGAAAAGAGCCATGGAAAATGAGGGCTTCGACGGTACGAATAAGGATAAGAAGGCCCTGGATAGCAGCAAAGGCATGATATGGACGTGAAGGGGGGAAGAAGAGCTATATATTGCGACCGCACGTCGCAGTGAGGAGGGAAATGAGGACTCCGAACCGAACGAAACTGATGTTGTAACTGGGTCTGGGGGCAGGAGCGAGTACGGTGTTTTGGCGCTTTTCTTTGTGGGCACAGAAATAAAATGATAAATAGATTCCCAGGTGGTTCCTTCCGGACTCACTCAAAGAATCTCCTGCTCCAATTGTAAGTGTAATACAGTTATTTCTTGTCAAATTTGGCGCTTCCCTTAATGCTGGTCGTTACTTCTATAACGGAATTAAGCTGTCAGTGGCCCATATTTAATTTTCTTTATATGTTACCACCACCTATTTTTATTATAAGAGTATTAAGAGTCAGATATAAATATTAAAAAAAATACTTAAATTAATTATTTATAATAAATTAGTGTTACTCCTCTAATTCTAAATTTAAGATTTTTTTATAATGTAATTTTATATTTAAGACAAGAGGAATATTTTTTGTAAAATACTTTTATTAATCACATCGAGTAGAATAAAAACACTTTAATTGAGAAATAAATAAATATGGATAAAAAATTGAATCAGGATGTTTTATATTTACGATTAAATTAAATATCTAACTAATTTATACATTTTAGAACCTACTATTATTTTCAAATAATAAATTTATTTTTTTTAAAAATAATTATTATAGGAATTAGTTTTATTTTAGATTTTATGTCCCTTGAAATAAAAAAATGAATTAAAATAAAAGGATATCATTTGATCTGTGCTTGTGTGATGATTGGATTTTTCCTGGAAAAATGGCACCTCATAAAAAAAAAAAAATATGGAGAACACCACGTCTTACGGTAATAAAATATAAACGAGTTAGAATAATGTCATCATCATCCGCGGGCCTTCGTACGTAATCAAACGGGAAATGAAGAGTCCTCGTTAATCGTTATCCACCAGCAGAGGCGTTCACCTTTCCTTCATCACCACCCTTGCTACTCGCTCTCTCTCGCTGAACCATGGCCATGCCCAATTGCTCCGTGGAACTTGCCCAGCACTTGGGTACCAACTTCGCCAACGCCACAGCCACCGCCGACTTCATCTGCAACAAGTTCAACGACACCGCTTTCGCCGTCGACAATACCTTTCTTCTCTCCTCTGCTTACCTTGTCTTCGCTATGCAGCTCGGCTTTGCCATGCTCTGTGCCGGCTCCGTTCGTGCCAAAAACACCATGAACATCATGCTCACCAACGTCCTCGATGCTGCCACCGGCGGTGTCTTCTACTATCTCTTTGGCTTCGCTTTCGCCTTTGGATCCCCGTCCAACGTATTCATTGGTCGTCACTCCTTCGGTCTCACGGATTTCCCTTCGAGTCTCTTCGATTATAGCTACTTCCTCTACCATGGGCCTTCGCCATCGCTGCCGCTGGCATAACCAGCGGCTCCATCGCGGAGCGGACTCAGTTTGTCGCTTACCTAATCTACTCCTCTTTCCTAACCGGATTCGTTTATCCTGTTGTGTCTCATTGGGTCTGGTCCAGCGACGGCTGGGCTAACGCTACTGGTCACTCAGACCTTCTATTCGGATCCGGTGCCATAGATTTCGCTGGGTCGGGTGTGGTACACATGGTGGGCGGCGTCGCTGGTCTGTGGGGCGCACTCATAGAAGGGCCTAGGATAGGTCGATTTGACCATTCCGGTCGACCAGTCTCGCTTCGCGGCCACAGTGCCACCTTGGTTGTTCTCGGAACTTTCTTGCTCTGGTTCGGGTGGTACGGTTTTAACCCAGGTTCGTTCTTGAAGATTTTGAATCATTACGAACCTGGAAACTACTACGGGCAGTGGAGCGCGGTGGGTAGAGCCGCCGTGACCACCACCCTAGCCGGCTGCACTGCCGCTTTGACGACTCTCTTCGGGAAGAGGATTGACTCGGGCCATTGGAATGTGACGGACGTGTGCAACGGGCTTCTAGGCGGATTTGCCGCCATCACCGCCGGATGCTCCGTCGTGGAGCCGTGGGCGGCAATCATTTGCGGGTTCGTGGCGGCAGTGGTACTGATTTCATGCAACAAACTTGCGGAGAAGATGAAGTTTGACGACCCATTGGAGGCGGCACAGCTGCACGGCGGGTGCGGAGCATGGGGGCTGATCTTCACGGCGTTGTTTGCAGAGAAGAAGTACGTGAACGAGGTGTACGGAGGACCTGTGGATAGGCCATATGGGTTGTTCATGGGTGGTGGGGGGAAGCTATTGGCAGCAAATATAGTGGAGATTCTGGTGATTATTGGGTGGGTCAGTGTTACCATGGGCCCTCTGTTCCTGATTCTTCACAAGCTCGAACTATTGCGAATCTCCAAAGAAGATGAATTGGAAGGTATGGATCTGACACGACACGGTGGGTTTGCGTATGCATACGAGGATTCATCCTCAAGGAATGGGATACAGTTGGAGATGGAAAGAATGGCAAACACGCGCGCTCAAACCACACAGTAAATTCTGCAATTATCATTGCAAGATGTTAATGTGACTGTGTTTATGTTTGTATAATATATGTGGGGCATGGTGTGCTTTTGTCCCTTTGATGATAAATGCAAAGTAATATGTGAAACAGGATCGAAGGAATTACTCCGCACTTGTTATTGATCTGTATGTATTTATATGCGTGATGATGACAGTTAAGGTTTACTTCTTTGAAGCCTTTGTTTGGTGTACTAGTAGTTTGAAACTCGAAGCATACACGGGCACTAGATTTACCACGAGTATTTTATCAGACTTTCTCGGCAAACGTCATAAAGGTTATAACTTTCAACTCTCTATAGTATAATGAATGTGTAAGTTATGAAAATATATATAGTAGTTACTGACAAAGTAACAGCAGCATCAATTAATGAAACAGTGAGGCTATTTTTTGAGCATCAAAGCTTCGAGTATACGAAAGATGGGAATGCTCATCACTTTGATGAACACCATAAGTTCATCAGATCTGAACTGTCTATATCTGATTTGAACGATTCAGATTTAAAATCTTTAATTAACTATTTTTAAATAGAGAAAATTATTTTTTGAAAGAATAATAGTTAAGAGATCATCACCATTTTAGATCTTATACATATTAAAATAATTATTTTAAATAAATAAAAATAAAAAAGAAATCAAATCTGAACCATTTAAATGAGATATGGACGATTTAGATCCGATGAGCTTATAGTGCTCATGAGCAGTGAAACTGGTTCCAGGAAAGATGAGATTTTGTACTACATAGAGGGCAAAAGAGGCGAGGAGGTCATAATGGCGACAACCCAACATTTTAGGAAGAGCAGAAAAAGAAGAGGATCTCTGGGTAAATGCAGTGATTTGTCTCTTTTTCAAATCTGTGGGCCGAACAATGGCCATGACTTTTGGATGAAGACGCCAAATGCTAATGACATTGACTGGCTTGTTGAAGGCAGGGAATGGCCACCACCACATGTTCTTCAGGGCTTCTATCTTCAAAAGATAAGCCTATTATTGTATTCTTCCATGTCTGCTGCTGCAAAGGTGGAACTCTGTGATTTGTCAACCCTCTATTTCAAGGAGACCTCCCGGAAAAGATATTCATGGAGTGAACTGAAGACAATGGCGACGGATTGAAGAGGGAAGAGGGCAGCGACCAAGAGATGGAAGAAAATTTAATTTGTTCGTTATGAGATATATATTGACCGATTCTCTCACCATTTTCAATTTCTATTTCTTGAGTTGAAATGTTTCTGATGAATCTTGTGAGCTCCTGTAATGTCTGAGGATAGAGCAAGAGATTAGCCGCGTATTCTGGGCTGTTTTGCTGTGGAGGAATGAGACTAAATTGTTATTGTTAATTAAAAGAAAAAAAATATCATTTATGTTTAGTTTTAAATATAAAACCTATTTTATAGTGTAAATTACATTATAAAATAAATTTTATATTTAGAATAGAATAGTGCTAATATAACTGGTACTTATATAATCTCAGCAGAAAAACTCCCCAGTGCGTGAGTTCAGCTAACTGTTGCAAGCGTTCATTTTATTTTGGTAATAGCCCCCCTGTCTCAGTTAGTGAGGGGATTGAAGTCGTTCTTAGATCTTAATCTATTTTTTATATATATATTTATAATTTTTTTTCTGAGCTATTCATTCACGCGCATTAACAAGATTTCCATCAAGAAATGTGTAAATGACTAATAATCATTCACATTTTTTTTATTTTAAAAAATAGTAATTTAAAATTTTTTATTTTTATAAATTAGTTATTTAACTTTTATGTTAAGAATGAGTAATTAGCGTTAGTGGCTTAATTTAATGAATGATAGCAGACTTTTTGTATCAATAAATCTACTCTCGGTCGTTAATATAAAAGCTAGATGACTAATTTGAGTAGATTAAGAAAATTAGTTAAGTTAGTTAGTTGTAATAAGTATGTGTTGTTTTTTCTAAAATATCCTATCATTATTACAAAGGTTACCTTGAGAAAAAATAGATAAATATAGAGGACAAAATAGATTGAGGTGTTATATTTATGATTAAAATAAAAGTCAAACAAACTCACATATTAAGGATTGGAGGTAGTACTATTTTTGTTCTTACTATAAGAGCTTGTTTGATATTTTATTTGGTCATAAATATAAAACTTAATCCATCTTGTCCTCAAATTTATCAATTTTTTCAAAACAGTTATTGTAATAATTACACATTTAAATGTTATATCAAATAGTAGTTCTAATTAATATACATTATTAATAAAAGTATTTTAAAAAAATTAATATTTATTTATTATAAATAATTAATTTAACTAATTTTTTAATATATTTACATTAATAAATTAGTTTTTATATTAATGATCAAAAGTACTGGTATTTACTTTTTGTTTATGCCGCGAAACACAAGCTTAAATCTTTTTTCCCCCTTTTCTCGTAGTGCGAAAATATTTTACTACTCTGGTAAAAAAAAAAAATTGACTACCGCTAAAAAGTTTTTTTAAGAGAGTTTGGTCAAGCACGTGGAATTCAAAATAAGTACTTGATTGGTTGATTTTCTGATGATTAGGCCACAGTACAAAATATTCATTTGATTTTATTTATAAAACACTTTAAACATATTTTACACAGACAAAAAAAAACTTAAAGTATATTAACTCTCTATTAAAATGTAACAATTTTTTAACTTTACTTATTTAATATATACACTTTTTAAAAAAGATAACTACTCACATCATAATAAATGAAGGACAAAATAGTATATTAACACTGAAAATTTAATGAAGTGACTTATAAATAGGACTAAAAAAAATTTCTATCTCAACCTTATAAATAGGATAAGAGGAGTAATTGACACTGCAATGGGACATATATAGCTGGCTAATTTTTGGTTGGATTCAGACCAAATTTGGTATCCATAATATTTCCAAAAGGTACCCAAAAAAATAGGAATTGGATTCCCTCCACTACTCTTCCCATCCTCTTTCCCTCCACTACCCTCCTTTTCTCTTCACAGCCATTGGATCAAAACTCCAATAGTCTAGACTTAATATGTTATAACATTTTATAAAAATAAATATTATGATAAAAAATAGATAAATAAATTTAAACTGTTAAAATTTAATCTGAACAGTTTATAACTACAGACTGTTATTATAAAGCAAATTTTTTTAATTTTTTTTATTACAATTGTAAACTGTTCAGACCATATTTTAACAGTTTAAATTTATTTATTTATTTTAATAACATTATTTTTATAAGATGTTAAATCTGGATCATTGGAATTTTGATCCAATGGTTGTGAAAAGAAAAGAAGGGTAGTGGAGAGGAAGAGGATGGGAAGGTAGTGGAGAGAATCCAAGTCCAAAAAAATAGCACTATTAAAAATCTATTTCCCCCCTTTTCTGCCAGAGGATTAAAAATCTAATTATTATTTGTTTTTCTTCCAAATATAATAATATGAGAAAAACTTTAAAAAAACCTCACAATTATCGTTATAAACACATATCAATATATTAATATACATATAGTGACGAATTTATAAAAAAAAATTATATTCTTTATAATATATAAAAACAAGTCAATCCATTTTTAAATATTGTAAAAAACCGTCAAAAAGGCACAGATGGATAAACTGGTCTTTGTCTCAATTTTGTTTTCTTTTCAAAGTCGTCTCTAATCAAATAGAACTATCTTTGAAGAGATTTTCCATTAAAAGATGTGGAAAACTCATTAAGTATGATTATTTTTTAAAATATCATAAAATTCTAAACCACGTGTTATTAAAAAAGGTCAAAGGGTTAAAAAACTACTTCCTCTTTTATAAATACGGTAAACAGTTGAAAAAGCTTGTCTTTATTTTTTTTAAATAGAGGGGTATTTATTACTCCTCCAATTCTTAATATATGACCTAATTTTTAAATTGGTTTTGATCCTAAATATAAGAACTATTTGATATATTTATCATTTTTTTCTAAATTACCCCTATAGATACTCTCTCAACTATAATCAAGTAGAAGAAGAAAACGGGGTATTAAAAAAATGATTATGATATTTTAAGAAAAATGTGTCACATTTTTTATAATTAATTAACTTACTTAATTTTTTTAATCTAATCAAATTAATTAAATAAATTTTAGATAGACCACATGAGTATTATTTTTAAGGACGGCGGGAGTATCTTGTTTTTCTTCTTCAAGCTCCCGTCAAGACCCAACCACAAGCAAGGATTAGACACGTACGATTAGTGCAACGCTTCCAAAGAAAGCGCAACGATAAGGTATAGTCGTGTAAGGAGAAACCAAAACTGAAGAGCATCGGGCTTTCCCTTTTTCCATGGAGGTCGTTGGCATCTCCATCAATGCTTCCATGGCCCCAAACTTCTCCATACCTCAGGTTCTCTGTCTTTTCTCCTAAAGCTCCTGTTTTCGTTTACATCCCTTTTTTATTCTTTACACATTGGTCCACTTTCTCCAATTCCATACTTCGTCCCTTCTTTCTGTTTGGTTTTGGAGAAAGCATGACGAAAAGAAGGCAAAATCGATGATTGAATGTTATCCTTTTGCATATGTGCGGTGCGGGGCAAAATCTGTAATAGGTCAATGAAGAACACAAATGAAGTTATGAACACCTGACTAAGTTTTTTTCCCTGGTCAATTCGACTCTTTGCAGGTGTCAAAGGGCGAACCATTTTCCTTAACGTATAGTGGCAAAAGAAATCCAATCTTCAGAAATAATGGCTCTAAAATTGAAGTTTCACTTCGGTTGCTACCCCGCTTCAGCAAAAGTTGTTCTGCTCAGTGTTGTTTGTTTCCTATAACTTCTGGCTGGTTTCCTAAATGGAGGAAAAATTCCAGTCTTAAAAGAATGACGCATTATTCAGCGGACTTCGGACAGCAAGCCTCACTTGTTTTTGTGCGGTTGGCTGTCGGAGTAATGTTGGTCATGTCGGTTTCTCTTGCCTTCAGCAATTCATCCGGTGAGTATGATTTGTCCCTGTACTGGACCTTCAATGGAGAGCACCATTACAAGTTGTCTTGGACTTTTTATATTTATATTTTAACTTTTGTCATATGTGACATCTCAATGATGCTTCATTTTTTTTTTCCTGGTGTCATTTCTTCTCAAGGGGCCTTAACTGAAGAGAATCTCCTCTTTTTGGAAGCGTGGAGAACAATTGACCGAGCTTATATTGACAAAAGCTTTAATGGACAAAATTGGTTTAGGTACAGAGAAAATGCACTGCGCACTGAACCCATGAACACTCGGGAACAGACATGTATGGATTCTATTTTTTGAAGTTAATTATTTTTTTTTTTTAAGTTGAAAAGAAGGCCAAACTGGCCCTTTTTGGGGGATAGAACCCTCCACCTCCCTTATGCAAGGGGACTGCCTTGCCACTACGGCAATGCACCTACTGCGTGAAGTTAATTATTTGATCTTCACTTGCTCCACAACCATTTGTTATGAAGATGTGATGTCGGTGGCTATGGCTAACCCTACACACGTGTTACTTGATAGGAGTAATTAGAAGAGATAAAGAAACTCAAGGGAGGAATTAGTGAAAAGTAGTGTTTTGTCAAATACTGATGCTTGAATGTTAGAAAAACTTAAGGATTTGATTTTGTCGCGAACCTGAGTCTGTTTAAGCCTCTCATCGATGGTTTGAATTTGTCAGGTTTACTTAGCATTGTGTTTATCAGAATCTTGTTCACATCCTAAATTGGGAATATGAGTGGATCCTCTTTCATTAAAGCATGTTGTCGGTCCTTTTATTATTCTGGTATATAACAGATGGTTAGGAAAGAATTATGTATGCTCTATGCCATGATTGTCTAGAAATTTGAGAGGATAAACCGAAGGGACTGAAGTTTCCAATCAGCACAAAGAAGCTTACGTTTATAATTTTATGCATTTAATTTCAAACTGAATTAGATATTGGCTAATGTAATGCGACTGTTGGAGGACATGGCCCCCATTCATCATGTTATTTTGTCTAGACTGATCAAGCAATTATTGGCAGTACTCCTATCTTATTTTCCTTCTTCTGACCGTTTCATTGGTGATAGCCATATTATGCAAATTGTTTGATGATAATTATATACTCCTCCGGTCCTAAATATAAGACCCTTATACTAGTGTGTATAAGGGTCTTACATTTAGGACCGGGGGAGTAGTTGATTTTGAGATACCTGAAGATGAGTCGATCATCACACGAATTTATCTTCTACACTTCTAATGGTGTATTTTTACTCAGATACGGCAATAAAGAAGATGCTTGCCACACTAGATGATCCTTTCACTAGGTTTCTGGAGCCTGACAAATTCAAAAGTTTGCGGGTATGGGGATGCTTCTTAAATTGACTTTTCCTTTG